AAAGAAAAAAAAATTTAGAAAACGGAGAAATGCTTACCACAACGACGGCTGCATAGCTGCCTACAATGCCATGTGTTTTCTTCTGAGAGCCCTCTGGATGAAAAGTACATGTTCCTTGGCTACTTGAAAATCTCCCCCTTCGAAACTCAATTATTCGAAAGCTCACGATATTTTTTGAAGAATATCGAGGCTGAAATTTGCGAAATTTTAAGAATATTTTAAGAAAAAACGCGAGGCTGATCAAAAGAATATAATTTTGTGTGTTGAAAGTTTGTAACTACAATACAATTGGTACATGTTTTAGCTAAACCGTATAAAATCTTTCCTTTCTCTAAACGGCAAAACTAGCCAAAACGCAACAAAAACAGCACTAGCCGTATATTTAAATACAATGATGCAAGAGACCGCGAACGAAAATGCGGCCGGTGTACTTAGGATCCGTATTTTCAATGCTAATAACATTTCTGCAAGAAGTTCTGTGCGTCTCATATCAGGCTTATTACTTTGAAAGTGAAATTACCATGTTCCCTTGTTCGGAAAATCTCTTAAGGTCATTCCCCAGAATTGCATTGCGCATCCTTACTGCGCATAATTTCACGCGTGATTAGCGCGCGCATTAAAAAATGGCGGCTTTTATTTACAGCTGGACCTCGCCGTAGAGGTAAACCGTCATTTTCTCGCAAACGAGTATGGTGACCTATCATTTTTTCTGTTGTTTTGAATTGAGTAATAAATTTCTCTGTGTAAAATAGATATGGACCAATTCTCAGTGTAGAACAAAAAGCAATCGCCGGAAACGTGAATTTAGCAAGCAATCGTGACTACAATCATAGTGTTATTATAAGGATTTATATGGGTATAAACAAGGTGCTGTTGCTCCTAAACGAACATTGGGACCCCTCATTTTTATTTCAGAATTTAAGTTCCTATAATATAAACAATCAATACGCAAAGTTTCACAAGAATCCCAGTGCAGGTTCTATTTCAGTGGAATGACCTTAAGAGACTCTCTGATCTTCACGTAAGCTCGTGCATCGATTTAAAAAAAAACTGGGCTCTTCGTTTGACATGAGGTATGTTTGGCTTATCCCACTTAACACAAGTAATCAAAGCCCTAATTTCACCAGATTAGTTTATGTTTTCTTTTATCTACCACAGTAATGCTATCCGGTAGGTCACGGTGTTGAAGAAACGCAATTTCCGGACAGATTTTTCTTCCAAAGTAAATACTGTCCCACTTAGGCCATTCAATCCAGGTGTAGTAGATCACGTAACTAGACACAACTTTAGCACTGACCAGAGTCTGACGAACAGGTCATACACTAATCTAATCTAAATCTTCGAAATAACGACTTCAAACTGTAGAAAATCTCAAAAGAAACATCAGGAGCCCATTACCCTGGAAACACAGGAAAACCAAAAGAATCACGGGTGGGCAAAAGCTAGCTCAAATAAACTTGAAAAACATCGCCCACGTTAATTATAAGTTAAACATCATGTACAGTGCTAGGAAATTATCCGTGATTCTGCCAACTGACTGCATCCGGCTTTGCGAACTTTTGAAGTTAAGTTTATGGCTTGATAAACTTCATAAATAAATCCTCGGTGTTTAGCCTCAGGGCTTGGGTAAGGTTAGGTTAGGGTTATTTAGCTCCTCCTAGAGTTATTTAGAACCACGAACGAAATACAGACAGTGGAATTTTCGGACCGTAATTATAAACTTTTTGCGCTCAGGTTTTGGCTTGAAATGTAAGGCGCAGTGAAATGGCCCTGCTAGGATAATTGGCAATGAAACAGGGACACAGAAGAAAGGAAAAAATGAAAGAGAAAACCACAGAATCTCCTCCCATATACAATCCTCTATGAGTAAATAAATACATCGATCTTTCAGATCCAAACTTTCGCTTCGGTCGGCACAGTTAACATGCAGCAAAAGGCTTCAGTAAAAAAGGAACATGTGTCCTTGAATGGAAAAGTAGTTGGTTTGATCATGAATACAGGGTTTGGCCGATAGGACGGAAATTTGCGTGGACCTTTCGCCACGATCTAATTGCTCTCTCGCCGGGCCGCTAGAAAATGGACGGAAATTTAATCTTGGGTCCACAATTCGTCAAACAATAACAGCGTATTCAATCGTACAAAATAGCAGGTGCCCTTTCTATATCTCTTTCAAAAAAAATCAACAACGGCATATTTTGCATGTGTTGTATGAACGAGACTTAATTCACACAATCGTAGCCAACTAAAGGTGACATTATATAATCGTACATAATCGATCGTGCACAAACCTAGATCTTATATATGCAAGGATATCGATTCTGACATCCAAAAGTCTTTTTCATCTTCACCACTAATACTCTAACAAAGGGCAATCAACACATACAAAAACTGAAATCCCAGAATAGTGCACTGCCTCGCTAAGGCTCGCCAGCAATTCAAACACTGTCCTTTGTGACCAGTACTACGGACAAAGGCCGTTATGCACTGAAGTTTACCCGGCCCTCTGCAGTGAAGGCTGAGCCCAACTAATTACAACACTTGAGATGAAACTAGATAAGACAGCATCTACGCATGTCGTGTAAAATCACGAAGGCAAAGTGCAAATTTGACGATGCACTGCACGGAAACGAAAACAAGCTACACTTACCTAATGTTCACTTGAGTCCGTGAGAGAGGGCTGTGCCGTAAATTTAAGCTCCTTGAGATCTACGAAATGTTGTTAAAACTCCTCTTTACCGGTAGGTACAACTCCCAAAAGATTCTAGTACATGCCTCAGACATAAACTGGGATATTAAATCGAACAACGCTTTCGTAGGCTGGCTAAAGCCGGATCCCGGGGGGAGGGGG